ATCATGGGAAACACCATTGTTGTGCATGATCTGAACGCCACCTAATTGTGAGTTGCTGCTGTACACTTCACGACCTAGTAGCTGTGGGGTTAAATATAAATTATCTCTTCAGATACCAGAAGAATGTTGGAAAACTTAAATTACTTCTTTAAATATTTATGATCTTAAATAGAGTGATGACAGCTGATGGGGTAATAGATTGGTGATGATAACTACTTGATAACTGACAGGTTAGTGATGATAATGAAATAAACTACAAAATATCATTTGGATATATTGCCTTAAGATGGCTGGTGACACTTTGGGTTGAAATAATGTATTTCAAACATAAGTTTAAAATCTTCCTGCGTGCAGTGTAAATGTCTAGGGCGGTTTAAAGCAACAACGTCGCCTGTACCAAAAAGAAACTTCATGATTCCAGATATACTGTGTTTGCAGAATAATAGCAATTCTTACCTAAATTTCTGTATTAAATGGGTTTGTTCCTAATATATCTAGATATTATCATACATGTGGTACCAACAAATTGTTAAGCCACTGATGTTGTGAGCTTAGTGTCTCGCAAGCCTTGGCAATGTAGAGGTCAGAACATTTAAGTTCACAGTTTTGTTCTTTTTTTTGTTGTTGTTGCCCTGAAGTATGGTGCTCCCATCCTAGATATAATATTATGGAGGTGGCAATAACCGACTACTTAGGAAAGAGGTTCCCAATGCTGGTAAAACAAAACATCTTTCCAATAATGCAATTTTCGGGTGGTGTTGCATATGAGACTTTTGATAGGTAATCCTACAAGTATAGTACCAGTAAATGAAATATTTTGCTGATTTTATGGGTACAACATAAGAAAATCTTGGATTTCAGGAAAGAAATAAGACACATACAACCATCAATCTTTAAAGCTGTATCTCCAATATTTAATTTTGCTTTTGTTGAATTTGTAGAAAATCAAATATCATTATGCTTTCCTTTGACCATTTTGACGTATACTGGTTTATACATTAGTGAAGGACAAATGAAGAGATATTTTCAACAAAGTGAAGGAGTTATTAGTAATAGATGACAAATAGTCTGAAAACTATATTTTCATTATCGAAGTTGCTATATGAGATTAAGCGACGTAGTATGAAAGGATGTCATTACTTCACAACATTATTCTTCTTATTCCTACAAAAAGTTAGGAACATAAGTGTCTATTCATCTGAAAAATTTCGTCTTCACTAATTTTTTAAATTCTAGTTGTATCCAGTCCCCTCAAGTGAAGTATCACTAACCTTTCAAGTGTACCACAGCCTTGTTAAAAAGTAATGCAACAACTCAATAATTACTTGTTCATCTGTTTATTTCAGTTACCCATCATATGTTACATCTTTCCCCACAAACACAATCACAACATGACTTGTCTGAAAAAAGAACTTTGCCTTTGTGTTCTTACCTTGTTCAGAGCTCCAAAGCCAGTAAGGATGATATGAGAGGACTCCACCTGGACCACTCTCTGTCCCAGCCGCACCAAGTAGGCACCAATGCCAATGGCACGGCAAGTGACCATGGAGTAGGTTGCGATTTCCCTGTACGCCTGTGATGTCTCACCAGCTATCATACCTGAGTGACGAAGATTCTCAACACCAAGGCCATCATCTTTTCCTGAAAATATGAAATAAAGAAAATAGTAATGATAGTTACCTTAGTTATATAAATGTCATCTATCTATCTATTCACCCAATAATAAATATATCAAGTAACACATAAATCAGAACTAGTAGTATCATGATTAAAGAATGTCTAACGCCTAAAAATAATATAGATATAACTTTTCATATACTTCTATTGATGATAATCCTCAAACACATAACAGGAGAAGCTTACCAATAATGTGATTGACTTTATACCGAGCCTCCCCATTATCATCTATGAGTTCTGCATGGATGGAGTCTAGAGCTGATATCTTCTTAAAATCTTCAGGAGTCAGATACAGATATTTAAAGCCCTGAAAAACAGTAATTGAGAATAGAAGTCATACATAAATCTATCAAAACCTTAGAGCAATTCAGATAAAAAGGCACTTTCATCTGTAAGAACAATTAATTGCAAAACCATACCTTGTCTGGCTCTGATGGATCTTCCCATGCAACCCTGAAAAGATGCTTGATTTCTTCTGCAAGTCCAATACGAGCACCAGAGTTTGCAGCAATATAAATCCTTGGTATCTGTTGACATAAAAACATATATCAGTGGTGCAAAACTGAAATGAAAATAAACAAAAAATAGTATAATCCTTTCTGAATAACAATAACAGAGGGAAACAAACCTTATGGTGCCTAGCAAACTGCGAGGCTTTGAGGAACAAAATGTCCTCATGCGGGCCAAAGGATCCAATTTGGTAAGTGATGTCGTTACAGATGACAATGATGTCACGGCCATCAGGATACTCTGGTGTATGTAATGTCATCCGCCAGGCAACCATACCAATCTGGCAAGGCAACAAAATATCATATTTTCAACAGATTTAAACATCTTCATAGATAATCATTAAACAACAGATTTATACTGATGTTTGCAACATTATTCTACCATGGGTGTTGCTGCAACTGCTTTGGGAGATCTCAACTCAAAATATAAAAAAGTTTTTATATTCCCAATCACATAGTGCATGCTGGAAAATTTATCAAAGTAAATAAAAAATAAAACTACAAAGCAATATGTGTGTGTGTGTGTGTGTGTGTGTGTGTGTGTGTGTGTGTGTGTGTGTGTGTGTGTGTGTGTGTGTGTGTGTGTGTGTGTGTGTGTGTGTGTGTGGTGTGTGTGTGTGTGTGTGTGTGTGTGTGTGTGAGCTTTTGTGTATGTGTGTGGGTGTGTGGGTGTGTGCGTGAGTATGTGCGTGTCTTGAAGGTATGTATATAATCATACAAAGAATCACACCTACAACAATTTCCAACTAAGAAACTAAGAATTCTTTATGAATATGTTTTATGATAATAATCCTTCTGTACTTACAAGCCTGAAGAATCTAAAAATTTAAAGCGAAATGAAAGTAAAGATTTCACTGCTATTGCAGCAAAATACAGAAATTAATGAATGGGTATAATAACAAATACAATAAAGAACACCAAGGATGAATGAGTGGCAACACTACTCAGATTTGAAGTACCAAAGTCTATTCAACTTTCATTGAATAAACCTTTTGCAGTGCAGTTGTTTTTTTCAGGAACTTTGGTACTACTTTGATGTTAAATGTTGTAACCTACAAAGGAACAAACAAACAAAAAAGTTTTTGGGTAAAACAGGATACCTCCTTATTACAGGCCCAAATACATGACTTGATCCTTTCATCTTCATTTTTTCTTCTGAAAACTCTGCCTTCTGTACATCTACACTCACTCTGTAATCATAAAATAACTACTGCTACTACTACCCTAGTAGGAAATGAAACAACAAAATACCTTAAAAGTCTTAAGATCTTTCATGTTTTATACATATTTCTTTTATTAGATCTACAGGCAGACATTTTTATCCACTGATAATACTCAAATGACTTCATTTAGCATTGATCATGTACATAATTTATGACCTTTCACAAGGAGGATTACAATCACAACTGAAAATCAAAATTGTAAATATTAGAGAGGGAGAGATAATATGGAAGAAAAAAATGGTATCCTAGGAACTAAAACAAAACAAAACAGTAATACCAACTCCTACTAATTAAAGTGCATAACAAAGGCTATCATGAAAAGTAAAAGAAAAAAATAGCATGACACTCACATTATTCTCTCCTGGCAACCTCTTCTCCTCTACCAGCTGGTCCTCTTGATCCAAAACTAACTCAACTATGCTCATTAAATGACTTGGGACTTCACCTCCACCTAAGGAATGAGAAATCAAGACAGTTATGGTGGTGATCATAAAAACAATGATGAAGGTAATTATATAGAATTAATAAAATGACCATTGTCTAATAACAGCAACTTTGTCAGTTCAAATGCTTTACAAAAAAAAATTGAAATACAATGTTACTGCCATTAAAGCTTAAACTTGGGTATTTCAAATATTTCTGAAACCCACAAAATTATGACATAATACTATCTACAACAAGTAGCAACAAATATTTCCATACACTTAGATTATACACATAACAGTAAAAAGTTACATGTATAATCAAGCATTCCACAAAGACTTAACAGACCAATGTCTTAACATACCCCTCTCTGTCAAGTACTCTTCCCATACCCTCTCCAGGGCCTGTCGGAACATCTCTGGGAAGTCGTACACGTATGTTGTGCCGTTGGTTTGTGCTTGGAACCTCTTAAGCTGGAGGTAGTCCTTCGTCATGTAGGGAGTGGAGATGGGAAGACCATGGAGGGGTCCCTGCCGAGCCCCAAAGCCCTCGAACTTGATCTGCCAAAGGTCATTAGCAAAATTAGGCATACTGTTAGCAGAAGACTGAGAACCAGAAGAAAATGTACACAGAGGAGTAAGTGTAAGGTAATAATGAAGAATATAGAAATTCAAATATTTGGACCAAGGATGGAAAAAAATGTAGGCTAGTTCATTCTCATAAATAATAGGTGTTTATAAACAGTTACATAAATGTGAATGGTAAGTGCATGTGGCATGACTTTATTGTAAAGTATTCATATAAAAAAAATAAATGCCATAAGTATAAGTATGACAAAGTATTACACAAGTTACCTTTGTAAACACTAAAAATAACTAAAACAATTAATTATTACACATAAAAATCACCTCAAAGAGCACACAAATTCAAATGTATCCCTACATTGGATACCATTTTCTGAAGTGATTGACAATCAAATCATTACTACTCAAATAAAAATCTAGTGATGCATTCTACTAATATATCAAAATCAATTATCAAATTTGCTACAAAGAGAAAAAATCACTAAGAAATAAGAACTAAGAAATAATAGAATAAGAAAGAGATGATGAGGAGGAAGTAAGAGAAAGAGAAAAGAAGGAAAAGATATGGAAAGGAAACAGATAGA